TTGTGGATAAGTTGTAGGAATGATGAGGATCATTTCATTATCTCCCAATAAAAACTTGTTTTTGTTGATTGTTCGATTCTTCTACCACATGTTGATTCACTTATTTCTGTTGATGGTCCGATTCTTGTACCACATGTTGATTCATCGATGTATCCAAGATGGTATGAGTTCAATTGAATGGTCATTAGTTGGCTTTTTCATTCTTTTCATAAGAACATAGCAGAAAGTGTTCTCTTTCTACAAACTGTACATGCTATGTAGAATGAATTAAATCAACTAATCTACCAAATTCAATAACAATTATATTCAGTTTTCACAAAATACGGATGATTTTTATACTTATTTGAATGACAACCATATATATAGTAGAAACGAAAGCTAGCTACACACTAGCAAAAAAAAATACACATAGATTAAGATTTTATTGGATGTTGCATCCACTGATACCACTTTTTAATAGTCTTTGCATTTCTTTACAAATCAATTATAAGAGTAAACAATAACGCGTTCCGATATATTCAGAATACCTAAATAACTGTACAAAATATCACATTGCTAATCATCCATACGAAGTTAACAACAAGACATGCATCAATCCACTAAAACATATATGAAGGGCTGAATAGAAATCATGGAAATCCATGTGTTCTAGATCTATTCATTAAGTGCTTAGTAACCATATATTTAAAACCCAAGTTTAAGTAAAATTTTACACTATAATATAATGCTGAGAGAAAACATTGGCTAAAGAACAATACATTATAAACTCTTCTATTTTCCGTTCAATTTGTTATATATATTTTTTAACAACTTGTGTGATGAACTTATTTTGTTAACAATTTATTATTGCTTAAACGGGTAATTTTTGTTAAGTCTGTCTTTATCAATGAACAAACTAAACTAAATATTTTATTAAAAAAAAAACTCTCATTTACATGCACATACACAAAACAACAGTTTCATTTCCCTTTTGTTAATTAATTAAGAATAAAAACAAGAACAATCATGTATTAAAAATTATTTTTTACTTATAATGAACTTTTATTATTTTCAATTGGAAGAAGTATAAAAAATTATTTTGTTTTAAAAAAACTATGATTTTATGATTTTGTTATTTTCATAAGGTTATAATAAATAAAAAAGAATATCAATCTTGCTCAAAAGTAATTATCAATCTGTTATATATTTATCTATTAAAAAAAGTCTAATTTTAATCTATAAAGTTTGGCTAAATAAATCAATAAACTATTCACCTAACTGGTTTGGTTTTAATAGTCATTGTTTTTTTTTTTGTAATATGACATATTTCTAATTAACATGTTTCTTTTGTTAATTTGTTTATTATAACATCTTTGTAATTGTTTCTTTTGTTAATTTGTTATTATAACAATCCTTTGTAATTATTTTGTTGGTATATTATAAGTTATAATATTGATATAATATTTTTAACATTTTTATCCTTCTGCCTTTGTGTTTCTTTATTAATATTTTTTTGGTATTTTTATCTTCTTAAGATTATAGAGTATGTTTAACAAATACTTTCCATTTTTTGAGTGTCATCTTAGTTTTTTCTCACTCTAATTTTCATTATCAAAAGCTTGAAAATATTCATATTTCACTACCTTTCACTATCTTTAATTAATTAATTTATTTTTTTTAATATTGTATATAAATATTATACTCGTTTTGTAGGGAATTAAAAACCATGAATTTTAATACTTTTTTTTATTAGTTTTTACTATATATATATATATATATATATATATATATATAATATTAAAAAAACTAAAAAAATATATAAAAAAGACTGATCAATCACATAAGAAGATAGTGAGGGATAGTCTCCCCTCACCTTTTCCCGTACCCATGGTATAGTGTTCCGGGGTGCAAAGACTTTTTCCTCACTCCTTACCCATCGGCCTAAGGCAAAGGATATGAGTCATTCTTATCTTTCTCCATAGTCTTCTCCTTTATCCAAATCAACATCACATCATCCACTAGTCAAACATTTTTATCGTCTACTCAAACATTTTTATTGTGTGGTCAACAATTGCAAAATGTACAAATGCTAAAACAAGCTTGTACAATTCATGATGCAGTTGATTAAGGCGATATGAATGATGAAACATGATGTTCATTTACATGGTGAGAAGCTTGTGGTACCTAAAGGGATGGAATGGTGTTCATTTGCGGTGCCTCAACATTTTCCATCTCGAGTAAATTACACGAATGGTCCCTATGGTTTAGGGTAATTTGCGTGTTTGGTCTCTAACTTATTTTTTTAACTCGGAAGGTCCCTATTGTTTGTTTTTGTTACGCGCTTGGTCCCTGTCTTACCTAAAAAAAACTATTTTGCCATTGATTTTTTAAATTTAATTAAATAAACACACCCCCAACCCCACCCCTTACCTTACCTTACCTACCCCACCATTTTTCCCTATTTAAATAATAGTTTTTTTAGGTAAAAGAGGGACCAAGCGTGTAACAAAAACAAATAGTAGGGACCAAGCGCGTAACGAAAACAAATAGTAGGGACTTTCCGAGTTAAAAAAATAAGTTAGGGACCAAGTGCACAAATTACCCCAAACCATAGGGACCATTCGTGTAATTTACTCTTCCATCTCTTCTTGAATCATGCTTTGATTAGACCGTCCACCCTTTTCTTATATTTTTAAGGCAAGAAGATAATTATATTTCTTAATCTATTTAGTTATTTTATAGATAAAATTGCAAAAAAGGTCGCAGTGGTTGTCAAAATTATGCTGTTTTAGCCCAAAAAGGTTTGGTGGTGCACCAGTGGTCCAATTTTGGATACATTGTGCGGATTTGGTCCCTCTGTCGTTAACTTTAACAGGTTGACTGTTAACTTTTTAAAATAACTATTTTACTCTTAGGGACCATTTCTGCAATTGAGTCTTTTTACCAAACCATAGGGACCATTTCTATATAACTTCTTTTTAAATTTACTGAAGTATTATATATTAGTTTTTTTAATTAGTTTTTTTGATTTCTTTTTATTGGATTAATGTTTTTTTATCAAATTATTATATATTAATAAATATTAGTTTTAATACATAATATTTAATATATTAATAATATTATTTTATTGGAGTATTGATTTCTTTTAATTAATTCTTTTTAAAAAAATTATTGGTTTATTATATATTAATAAATATTATTTTTAATATTAAATATTTATATATATTAATGAATATTACTTTATGTGATTATTAACTTCTTTTAATTATTTTTTTTAATTTCTTTTGTATTGATTATTTTTTGTCGGACCGAGTTTTGAGACATATTTTGTACAAAATCACCATTTTCGGACCAAGTGATAGTGGTGGTGTTGTCCAAAATATGTTATCTCTCATATATTTAAAATAAATTAGAAGTGGTTGGTTTTTGGGTCTTGTTCTTGAAATTGTGTTGGATTAATTTCTTTTGGTTAGTTTCTTTTTTAAAACATTTTTTTTATTATATTAATTCTTTTTTTAAACATTATATATGAATAAATATTATTTTAAATATATAATATTAATATATTAAGGAATATTATTTTATCGGACTACTGATATTTTGTACAAAACCACCACTATCACTTTATCCGAAAATTGTAGTTTTGTCCAAAATATGTCTCAAACTCGGTCCGACAAAAGAGAATTAATACAATAGAAATTTTAAAAAATAACTAAAAGAAGTTAATAATCCCATAAAATAATATTCATTAGTATATATAAGTATTTAATATTAAAAATAATATTTATTAATATATAATAATCCAACAAAAAAGAATTAATCCAATAAAACAGAAATTAATTAAAAGAAATCAATACTCCAACAAAATAATATTATTAATATATTAAATATTATATATTAAAAATAATATTTATTAATATATAATAATCCAATAAAAAGAATTAATCCAATAAAAAGAAATTAAAAAACTTAATTAAAAAAAAACTAATATATACTACTTCAATAAAGTTAAAAAGAAGATATGCAGAAATGGTACCTATGGTTTGATAAAGAGACTCAATTGTAGAAATGGTCTCTGAGGGTAAAATAGTCATTTTAAAAAAGTTAACAGTCAAACTGTTAAAGTTAACGATATAGGGACCAAATCCGCACAATGTATCTAAAATTGGACCACTGATGCACCACCAAACTTTTTTTTACCAAAACCGTATAATTTTGATAACCACGTGGACCATTTTGAAATTTTGTCTATTTTATAACTTTACATATGTATCTTATATCTCGTCCAAAAAGTCAAAAACCTAAAAGTGAATCGAAGCTCCCTTTTCTTGATAACCATGTAATGCTACATAGTCATGCAATTTATGACTTGCAAAATTGGTTATTTTTATCCTAAACAATCTGACAATATATCAAGTGTTTTGATCTCATCCACTTCTTTTTAATCAAGTCTTTCCAATAAGTTGTGTCATAGTAGTATTTTCATTTTTCAACCGCAACTCCTTAAACATGTTGGGAACTCCTTGACTTCACTTTTCTTCATCTATGGTATAATCTCGTCTCAACATCAACCACATTTTACTTAAAAATCATCATTTGGAATCTCTGGTTCCTTTAAATGATCATCTTCTATAAAGGTCGGAGTCTATCTTGTTATGACCTTAACACGAACATAATATGTGATACTGTCGATCTCTACTTTCACCATATCGACAATGATCCCTAAAGTAATAGATTTAATACACAAACAATTAATTTGATCATTAGGGTTCTTCTTTAACATAGATGAGTGAAGTGAGAGATACATCACATTTCAGATTTTAAAGTTTATTTAAAGTTTTTATTACTATAAAAAAAGTATAATAGTTTTTTTATGTTTGTGACATACAATTTTTGTAAAAAAAATACCATATAGATGTTTTGGAATGGAAAAAAAAAACACACGTATTATGGCAAACCATAAGATGATTCATGTAATTTTCACTCAATAACTTATTTAATACAAATAGAAACAACAAAAATAACAAAAATCAACTTTACTCAAAACCAAATAACTTATAAAAGAAAAATATATCCTCTCAATATATGAGCTAATGACATCCATACAATCATTGTTTTCCATCAAATGCTCATCCCAATAGAATGTTTTTTCACACGTGTCCGTAGCCGTCGGTGTAATTTGCATTTGTCTTTCCCAAATTCCGACCCCAAACTCCGGTTATCTCACCGCCGGTACCAACTCCGGCGACTACCATGATTAATTTCTAGCATTCGACTCTAAAACCAGAAGTTAAATATCGAAATTAAACAAGATGAGATGAAAAAAAACCTAGCTTGTAATCAGCGATGTGATAATTTTTTGTTCGTATGATCAGAAGCAGAAGGAATTGCAGATAAAAGTACAACAATGTCAATGTACGTACTACTCTTCTTCCTCATTTTGTCTTTCAATGGCTTTTCCGTACAGAAATTCAGAGTTCAGACTCTCAATAATAACAAAAAAACTGCACATTAATTCTACCTTAAATTTGTTACGAATTAATTTTATGTAATAATTTTCAATCGTCATCTTATCATCTTCATGGCTTCAGTTGAACCCACTCGAATCGACCTTCTGATGGCGTCTCGTTTACAATGTCGAAATTGTACCTGCAAGTTTATGGGGTATGATCGAATCTCAGTTTTTGTTTTGTTTTTTGAGTTTTTAGTTCTTGAATTTGATGAACATGAAAGAACGAGAACTCACTTGTCTTTGAAGCGTTTATGGAGGTCTTTCTCCGCCACGGTGAAAAATTCTTCGAGCTCAGCCGTTGGCACTGTACGGCGGCGACAATTGATTGTCGTTGACGACGGCTTTGATTTGAGCATCTCCGGTGCTTTGAATTCGGTGCTCGGTTTGCTGAAATGAACATCGATGAGTTTCGATTTGGTTTTAAAGGAATGAAGAAAATGTAACGACGCTGGATCATAAAACTTCATCTTCTTAAATTTGAAGAAACTATGAGAAGAATGAGATTACAGCCATTAACAAACCTTGCTCTTGTGTCCAAATTACATCTCGCAGTTGTTTCAAATTCATCCTGCTAATTCGAAACCGAAAAAATCAAATTATGACATTCATAAGGAATCAGAGAGTATAAAAAAAAGTTGAACAATTATCATTCATACGCATACCTTCAGATCTGTGAATTCCAATTCTTCTGTTGATCCATTCACTGAGAAACAAGACACTACGTTGTGATCGCCAGCGGAAGTGCCTGTATCCTTCTCCGTCGTAATTTGACTGAACGGTGACTTCGGTTCTCCATTACCGACCTTTCTCCTCTTCTCTGCAACCACCGAAGCTTTGGTCCTCATTCCTACCGAAGCAATGTCAATCGCCAACTTCTTTGCTGCAGTTCCTTGTATATATACTCGACTATTTATACGCACGCACACATGTTATATAGTTAGTTATTCGACTGGAGAATAATATCTTCTGTGATTCTTCTGTTTTTTTTAGTTTTAGAGAGAGATAGGGGAGAGTGGAGGTGATGATGAGGACGTTGGTGATGGCAGGGATTCCGTTTGAATGCTGGTTGTTGATTGGGTGTGGGTAGTTGTGGTCCTCACTTTCTCTCTCTACATCGTTGTTACACTTCTACTGTGTGTCGGGTGTGTGATTTGATGGCGCCGTTACCTGATCCACGATCAACCCGTCGTCAATCTACCGGTATACGGTGGCTGGCTGGCCGGAGCCCCTGATCCTGCGGTTACAAGTTGCAACTCATACGTGAATCGTTTTCAACGCAGCTCATTTGGTGATTATTTGGTGTGCAGCAAATTTCTTAATTTTATGGAATGTTTTATAATTTTTTTTTTACAAAATTTTAAAATTGGTCCATATGATTTATCAAAAGGTTAGAACTTTAGTTAATGCTAATTTTTTTGATAAATTCAATCATTGTGGTTTTCAGGGGCGGCTCAGCCAGTCTGAGACTCTATTTAGGATCCTTTAGCCTTTTCTATCCAAAACTGATTCCAAAATATAACTTGACACAATGAATATTAAAAAAAAAATTAAGCCCTATTAACCCTCATAAATAACCTAATAATCAAATATTCAGGTAATGGAAGGTCCAGAAGGAAAACTAATATACTTATAACAATATCAAATTGTATAGTTGCTATAATTCAGAAATCACAATCTAAACATGTAGATACTCACAATGTTCCTTTTATAAAATCTGGTTTTATAAAAATGACGCGATCAACACACACACACACACACACACATATATATATATATATATATATATATATATATATATATATATTGTATTTAATTACGAACTATTTATTGTTTTGTGAAAATAATAAATATAAGAGAGTATAAGTAGTTATTATTTCATGTGGTATGAATTAATAAGTTATACAAACTTGAAAAAGGCATAATCATGATTTGGTTAGAGAAGAGTATATGCATTTTTTAAGGACGGACATGAAATTGGATAATGTTGCTCAAGAATTCATTAAGAATTTGGGAATAGTAAACATTGGGCCAAAAAAAACTTATAGATTGATACAAGAATTAAGAGATACATACAATATTGATGGATGGAATGTTGTTGCGTATAAGAATCAAGCTTTTTATCCATGTCAGTCTTCTTCTTGAAGATCCATTTGCACTCAAATGTCTTTCAACCTGGTACATTATCAACGACCAAAACTATAATGTACACTTATTAATATTCAAAAATATTTTTTCTATAAATGACATCGTTTTAGTAAAGTGACGTCCGGTCACGTGCATCACGTGAGACTACTTAACCAAGCTACACATTATGATATTTATGCAAGGTATATTCTTCGTTCGAACTGTAGATTCAACTAAAAGTTTTGTTTAGTTATAGATTTCAATGTTTGTCAGGGTTTGGAAGATGGTTCTTATTTTCTAGGGAAAATAATAAACGCATGAAGAAAATTAAAGTTATCAAAATTATGGTTGTGATGCATTAATTCTCCCTTTTTTTATACTCGGTGAGTAAAATATGAGTAAGAACCATTTGCTAAAAGAATTTCAAAGTAAACAGCCTAATAATTCTTAACCCTTTTTTTTTACAAATCTGGTTTCACATATAATCTATGTGGCTTCATTAGTAAAGTTTTTAAACATCTATCAAAACATGTAGATTTAGTAATGCAACAAACCTAATGCAATTTCAAAAGTTGATATTAACTTAGTATTAAGAAATATATTCAATAATTTGTACAGATCGCTGATGAGATAACGTCAAAGTTTATCTAATAATCGGATATTAAAAAATGGAAGGTCCATATGGAAAACGGATATACATATAACATATCAAACATAAGTTAATAAGTGATAAGTGATAAGACTAATAGACTAATATGTCTATTCGAGAAAGAAGAATCAACAATGGAGTTATCAGTTATGGAGAATCAGAGGAAGAAGTCAAGAACAACATAACGTTTCAGCGTTTTAGGATTTAGGAATCAGTTCTTGACACATGACAGCCCTAAAGATTTTAGTTTTAACTTTTGATTTTTTAACAATCAAGAATCGTTTAGAGCCAGAAAGAAGAAAATTCGAGAATCAACTAAGGAAGATCGGAAGAAGAACAGAGAACAGATTAGTAATGGTTTCTGCGGTTCTACTGAGAGTGAAGAATCAGATAAAAGAGAATGAGAAGGAATCAAGGAGCTCAGGAAGATTAAAAGAAGAACAATCACATGTCTCTTAGCTGGTGAAATTTGTGGCGTGTGCAAATCGAGAATATACATTCCCCTAATTGAGAATTAGGTTAAGTGGGCCCCTTTAGAATCGGGGTCCCAAAGCCCTTGCTTATTTTTTCTTAATGTAAGACTTGTATTAATTCAATGAGAAATGACTTAATAGAATTATAAGTATGTTCTCGTCTTTGTGTGGATATAAAGAACATAGAAAATGGGTAAGAAACGAAGAAGTTATGAGGGTTAGAAGTTGGGACAAAAAGTTCCCCCAAAGTTGTAATGGAATCAACAATACACTTTGCTGATCTCCAGGTACTGCGGCGCGGCAAGTAGCTCACCATGGCAGGGTGAACGATGACAAGGTTTCAAATGTGGTCCTCCACATATTAAAGAAATGGCAATGTACTTTGGCCCCACAATGCGACAAGATGTTCGCCACAGTGTAGTGACGTAAGTGGCTGCCATTGACCATGAGTCAACTGGCCACCACGGCACGGCAACAAGTTCACCACGGCGCGGTGTCGCATAGAATAAACCCCCTGCTCAGTATTAATTTTCTTCAAAAACATTCCTCTTTCCTTAGAGGAGGGAGCTTCAACGCTTTTGGGATGGGGGATGATCAAGTGGTGGTCCAAGGTGTTAGAGGAAAGGAATGAACCAAGGTTGTCAAAATCGAGATCTTATTTAAAATCGTTTTACGTTTTGCAAGATCGTGATCATAAGATCGGATCGGGATCTTAAGATACTACCAAAATGAACTCATATTCAAATTTGCTCGCAAGATAGTGTAATCAACTTTAACTTGTTATGCTCACCCATAATTTTTGTTGCTACAAACCATAAACATTATGAATAAAACATGCTAACTAGAAATAATATCATTTTGATCATGTACGAGTAAGGCATAAGATCACAAAAGGATTATTATGAGTATGTTCTGCCTAACTCGAGATGAAATGATAAAAAGGTGATGCTATAGAAGATTTCTTGCAACTTATGATGCTTGATTTCAAGTTGAATAGATGAATTTTTGATACTCGGATATATAATATAACTAAAGAAGTGAGATCGGGATTGTAGCGTGATCGGAATAGTTTATCACTTGAAGGATCTTAAAACCGTAAGATTGTGAGATCAAAATTGAGCTTTTAACAACTTTGGAATGAACATCAAAAGCCCTTAAGCCCTTAAGGCCTTGAGCAAGTGGATTAGCCAAGATGCATCAACTGAATAGAGGAGCCAAGAAAGGGTAATTAGTCCTCACTAACTAATAAGGTGAGTTATAACTCTCTCACTATCTCTCTCTCTCTCTCTCTCTCTCTATATATATATATATATATATATATATATATATATATATATATATATATATATATTGTTAACGTATCCCTCTGAGGAACGTCAAAAGAGAAGTCAAGCTAACACCGGGCTTGGCCTAGTCAGAACCTAGTCTAAAGCCAAGTTCGGGCCTTCGCCAACGTGAAGAACGCTGATATGGAAGTTAAGGTGAAGAACCGCGCCTTAACCCCTTCTCAAGGGAGTTACCTCCCGGAAAACGTGAGACCAATCAGAGAGACCCACTCGCCCATCAGACGATAGCCATGATCTTTGTAAACATTTAGAAGATCCCCTCCCATCCAATGAGGGGATGAGGCAAAAGACGTGACGACGGGCCCTCCAATATGGGTCCGCCACGTCACACCTCACAAGGGAATCCTCAACAGAATCAGTTGAAGGACATGCCTATAAAAAAGGTATATAAGGATCCTTCTTCCTCACAAGGAAGGGGACGGAATCCTCTTTTCCCTAAAATCTACTACCATCTACTTCAGATCTCATACTGACTTGATCGTCGGAGCTTCGTCCCGGGAACTCCTCCCGGACGTTGACTAACGGTCATTTCTCTCTTTTGCACTGTGATAACAAGAGAAGATACTCACTCGGATCCCTCCAGCAGTTACGATTCCATCCTCTCCAACATATCACAACATTTGGCGCCATCCGGGCGTATCTTCATAACGATACATCCACGAATAAAACCCAGAAAGCAACAATGGCAGACGATATCCCAGTGACATCAGGGGCAGTGACGACCATCCCGCTGGACCCAATGCAGTCACTCGACGGCGAACAAACTTCCGTTCAGGAGGAGCACGCTTCAAACCGCACACCAACCTTGCAGACACCATCCAGTTTGGTGGCCGAAACAGCGGCAACTTACATAGCCAATCTATTGCGCCCAACAACTGGCACAACCCCAATCGTAACCACAACTCCGCAAATCATTGCAACGCCGCAAACAGAGATCCCTACGTCACAACAACAACCCTCCCCGCACGTCTCTGACACCGGAACCTGGATCCCTCACACCATCCAATCGCAACCACAATATCCCTCGATGGTCCATCCACATGCCGCTATGTCAAGGTTGTCTCATGTGCCGATATTTACACAGCAACCGCCAATCTTCAACCAGCTTACACAGCAGACGCCAGGTGCAACCCCTACACTGTCTCAGCCGCAAGTAGCATACGTGCAGACTTCGTCCAGCCAAGGACCTGGCCCTTATGGATCCGGCGTCCAGCTCTCGGTAGCACCCGAATTCAACCCCTTCATGACAGTCGGACAAACGTTCAACGCGTATATACAACAGTACACAGGAGCAAGCCTATACCCAGTCCCCCCGGTAGGGCAATCTGCAATCCAGGCCTTTGGATCGCGGTCGAACCTACAACAGTGTCAACCGTACATCTCGCAGGCGACCATACATAACCAGATGTATGTGAGCCCCTACCAGATGCAACAACACATCGCCT